TCTCATGACATTGACTAAAATTTTCCACAATTCAACAGCTCCTCTCCCACTTCCTCCCCATAGTTACGTCTTCCTAGTGTCCTTCCCTCCATGCACTCCTGCCCCCTGAGCTATCTCCCTGTGCATATACAGCCTTTCTATTCTCCCATGATTGATCTCTTCAAGAAGTGTACCTACCTAATGTAAATGTTCACCTCATATGACTGTCTTCCATAAATTTTTTTTAAACCTTATCTCTGTCAAAGTGTAAGATTCTCAGACTAGAAGCTTAAGAAATGCTTCACTAAATAAAAAATCAGTTTGGGGCGGCTGTGGGGGACAAGAGAAATCTAGCTTTATGAATCCAGCAAAGCAACGATCCATATTTCTAGTTTCTGTTCTTGTGAGAGGGGTCTGTGTTTGTTTGTATGTACTTAAAATATATGTTTTGCTGGGTGAAGTCTCAATTGTAAATCGTGTCCTTATATGCTAGGAACACTGTATTTCCAAGTATATTACAGATAACCTATGATGGAGCTAACAGTTGGAGGCACAGAGCCACCATGCCCATACCACCTGCTCACTAATTCATACTGCTATTTTAGAAAAGACTCTGTTCATTAGAGCTTATTCTTCTCACTTAAAAGGAAGGAATTTTCATGAGCAAAGCAGGCTGGCAGAAAATTCTGCTTAACAAAAGACACAAAATTCAAACAAGAATTTCTTCAAAGCTATTGCAAATGCCTTGTCATATAATACTAATTATTTAGCATAATAATGCTGTTCCTTGAGGAATTTTAAGGCTAATGACAAATTTTAAAAATATGACAAATTCAAGCTGCTGACCAAGCTAATTTAGAAACACATTCTCTATCACATATTAAAACAACATTGTCTTTTGAAGCACCATGGAAAAACGAGCAGGGGCTCATGCTGACAGAGGCACCATTGGCAGTGGTGGTGAGTTTCACAAGGAGGAAAATACTGACCCAATTATCTGCTTCATCTAGGAAAGGCCATCTGGTCACTCTTTGAAAACATATTTGCAAGATACTTGGTCATGCACCTCTGCTATAACAAATCTTTTTAAAAATAAAATAAATAACTAGGACTGATCAGGAGAAACATAGTTACAGAACACCTCACACCATGGCCAGAAACTGTGAGAGCAGAAAGCAAAGCACTGGGGCACCGGGAGTAACTGAGTTAACTGCTCCTCCCCAAAAAACAGCAGGCACCACTATCTTCAAGAGCAGACAAGGAATTCTCTAGAAAAAGGGACTCTGATAGACTTTTCTAAAAGTGAGAGCACTTGGCAAATACTCAGAAATATAGTGAATGTCAAATCCCATGATAATTAAATGTTTCATCATCTCTAGTCAACGCATACTTCATATGAAAATGAGTAACACAAAAACAGTCTCAATATTCTATGAAAATTTCTCTCAAGAGAGTAGCTTTTTTTTCTGCACATATTACTGTTTGCCAAGCTGCAATACCTTTCTAAATCTTCCTTTTCCTCCTCTTGTTCACATTTCTCAGTTCCAAATTTGGCTTTCAGTGACCGGGCTCTAGCAATTGTAGCTTCCACATTAGTAATCTGAAGAATGATTTCCTAACAGTGAAAAAGGAGAGCCATACAATGGAAGACAGCAAAAAGCAAGGCATTTTTTTTTTTTTAAGTTATCTTTAAAATAATTACTGCCAAGTGGGGACAACACCTGGCAAGATTCTGACAATGCATCAAACTTACTTCCAATTTCTTGTCTTCTGGATTGGGGAAGTGCAAAATTTTACTGGAATGGGATATTATCTGTTTTATAATCTTCTTAACTGAAGAAATGTTTTCCAGATTTTCTATTTTTAAAAAGATTACAGCCATCATTAAATAAGTTAGGCAAAATAGAACTTTCATTTTGAAAATGAATTAATGACTAATCAAATAAGACATTTACCTTCTTCCTTTACCTTGAGAACAGCTGCATGAATTACACAAGGTAACAGGTGCCGTGCAAGATCTGCAGGTTTCTGGATTGCCAGGTAGTGTAGCACCTGAAGGAGGCACAGTTACATAAAAGAGCAATGTAGTTGTTGCAGTCATTTATCTGGATACAAAATCCTCTGTACCACTGAACTTACATCTCTAACAAGACAGAGAAGAACTGTCCTCTCTATTACGCACCTACTGATACTCATCCAAGAAGGTAGCTACCACTCTCAAAGGTAAGAATAATGTTATTGAAAATGGCAAAGAACTTCAATCACTAAAAACGATGAATATTCTCATGATGTTTTCATTCCAAGATTTTTGTGTGTGTGTGTGTGCGCACATGCAGTTTCCTTCCCTCCCCTCCACCCCTGGTAACCAACAAAGAAAGTTTCCTTCCATATATAAACCTTTCCTTGACTTTTTACAATAGTGAACTAATAAAATACTTGCCCATCTGTGACTGACTTACTTCACTCAACATAATGTCCTCCAAGGTCATCCACATTATGCGGTGTTTTGCAGATTCTACCTTATTTTTTAGTGTTGCATAGTATTCCATTGTGTGTACGTATATAGTTTGGTTATCCAGTCTCTTGATGGGCACTTAGGTTGTTTCCATCTTTCTGCTACTGTAAATAGTGCTGCGATGAACATGGGCATGCATATATCTGTTCTTCTCCTGGAACTCACTTCTTTAGGATATATATCTAGTAAAGGGATTGCTGGATCAAATAGTGTTTCTAATTCCAACTTTTTAAGGAATTGCCATACTGTTTTCCACAGTGGTTGTATCATTTGATACAACCCACCAGCAGTGTATGAGAGTTCAAATCTCTCCACATTCTCGCCAGCATTTGTCATTTTCTGCCTTGTTGAATTTTGCTATTCATGCTGGGGCCAGATGGTTATCTTGTTTTGATTTACAGCTCTATAATGGCTAATAATCGTGAACATTTCTTCATGTGTTTCCTAGCCTCCTAAATATCTTTTTTAGTGAAATGTCAATTCATGTCTTCTGCCCATTTTTTAATTGGATTGTTTGTTTTTTCTTGTTGAGGTGTTCTCCAAATTTTAGAGATAACACCCTTGTCAGGTATGTCGTTGACACATATTTTTCCCCAATCTGTAGGTTCTCTCCTTACTCTTTTGGAGAAGGCTTTGGAAGCACATAAAAATTTAATTTTTAGAAGATCTCATTCATCTCATTTATCTTCTGTTGTCTGTGGATTTGGGGTTATGCTCGACAGTCTATTTATGCCATAAATGAAGGCCCCTACATTTGCCCCTAGTTTTTCCTTGAGGAACTTTATAATTTTAGGTTTTACACTTAAGTCTTGGATCCATCTGGAGTTAGTTTTTGTGTATGGTGTGAGTTACAGATCTCGTTTCATTTTTCTGCAAATGGATATCCAGTTTTGCCAGTACCATTTGTTAAAGAGACCATCTCTTCCCCATTTAATGGATTTCAGCCCTTTGTCAAGTATCAGCTGACCGCAGGATGATGGATCTATTTCTGAGTTCTCAATTCTGTTCCACTGGTCTAAGGGTCTGTTGTACCAATACAATGCAGTTTTGACTACTGTGGCTGCATAGTTAAGTTTTGAGATGCAGGAGTGTGAGACCTCCTACTTTGTTCTTGTCCTTCAACAGGGGCTTTGCTTATCCAAAGTCTCTCTCCTTTCCATGTAAAATTGCCAACTGTTTTTTCCATATTCTTAAAGAATGCTGATGGAATCCAGTTTGGGATTACACTGAATATATAGATTGCTTTGGGTAGTACTGACATTTTCACAATGGTCAATCTTCCTATATGCACGAGCATGGTATGTTCTTCCATTTATGTAGTAGTGTTTTGTAGTATTGAGTTTTCTTTGTACGTGTCTTTTGTGTCCCTAGTGAGATTTATTCCCAATATTTGAGCTTTTGAGTTGTGCTGCTGGTGAAGAATGCTGAAAGTACCATGGACTGCTGAAAGAACTAACAAATCTGCCCTGGAAGAAATGCAGCAGAATGCTCCTTGGAAGTGAGAATGGCCAGACTTTGTCTCACCTACTTTGGTCATGTTGTAAGAAGGAACCATTCCCTAGAGAAGGATATCATGCTTGGTAAGGTGGAGGCTCAATGAAAGAGGGGAGGGCCTTCAGCGAGATGGATTGACACAGTAGCTGCAATGATGCACCCAAGTATAGCAGAGATTGTGGAGCTGATGAGGGACCAGGCAATGTTTCGTTCTACTGTGTGTGGGGTCACTGTGAGTCAGAGATGACTCCATGGCACCCCACAACAACATAGTAAAAGGTATTGATTTTCTTATTTCCTTTTTAGCAATCTCTTTACTGGTGTAGAGGAGTCCAACTGATTTTTGCATTTTGATCTTGTACCCCGCCACTATGCTAAATCTCTCGATTAGTTCCAGGAGCTCTTGTGCTGAGTCTCTTGGGTTTTCTGCCAATATACTAAGGTATATTGACAGAGAACTTCCAGAAATACAAGTTGGATTCAGAAGAGGATGTGGAATGAGGGATATTAGATGGATTTTGGCTCAAAGCAAAGAATACCAGAAAGATGTTTACTTGTGTTTTATTGACTATGCAAAAACATTTGATTATGTGGGTCATAACAAATTGTGGATAATATAGAGAAGAATGGGAATTCCAGAATACTTAACTGTACTCACGAGGAACCTGTACATAGACCAGGAGGAGGCTGTCGTTCGAACAGCAAAAGGGAACACTGCATGGTTTAAAATAAAAAAAGGAGTGTGTCAGGGTTGTATCCTTTCACCATACTTATTCAATCTGTATGCTGAGCAAATAATCCAAGAAGCTAGACTTTATGAATAAGAATGTGGCATCAGGATTGGAGGAAGAATGATTAACAATCTGCAATACACTGACGACACAACTTTGCTTGCTGAAAGCGAGGAGGACTTGAAGTACTTACTGATGAAGATTGAAGAATACAGTCTGTGGTATGGATCACATCTCAATATAAAGAAAACAAAAATCCTCACAACTGGATCTATAAGCAGCATTATGATAAATGGAGAAAAGATTGACGTTGTCAGAGACTTCACATTGCTTGATTCTACAATTGACGCCAAAGGAAGCAGCAGTTAGGACATGAGACAATGTACAGCACTGAGCAAATTGGCAGCAAAGGACCTCTTTCAAGTGCTGAAGAGCAAAGACGTCTCCTTGAAGACTAAGGTGCGCCTGATACAAGCCATGGTATTTTCAATCCCCTCAAATGCACGTGAGTGCTGGACAATGAATAAGAAGGACCAAAGAAGAATTGATGCTTTTGAGCTGTGGTGTTGGCGAAGAATGCTGAAAGTACTGTGGACTGGCAAAAGAACTAATAGGTCTGTCCTGGAGGAACTGCAGCCAGAATGCTCCCTGGAGATGAGGATGCCCAGACTTTGTCTCACCTAATTTGGTCAAGTTATCAGAAGGGACCATTCCCTGGAGAAGGATGTCATGCTTGGTAAGGTGGAGGGTCAATGAAAGAGGGGAAGGCCCTCAACGAGATGGATTTGACAAGGTGGCAGTGGCAATGGGCTCAAGTATAACAAGAATCATGGACCTGGCTTAGGACCGGGTGGTGTTTCATTCTGCTGTGCATAGGGTTGCTATGAGTTGGAGATGACTCGACAGCACCTACCAACAAAAACAACTTGGGTTTTCTATGTGTAGGATCATATCAAACCCCTTAGCCACTCCTCGGAAGGAAGGTTGGATAATCTACTTCTGTAATGATACTGCCTCGGAAACCCAAGGAGGGCTCGCTATGAGTTGGGTCAAACTTGAAGGCACATAACAACAACAACAACAGGAATTCTAATACAATGTTGAAAAGAAGTGGTGATAGAGGGCATTCTTATCTGGTTCCTGTTTGGAAGGGGAATGGTTTCAGTCTCTCTCCATTAAGAAAAATGCTGGCTATTGGTTTTCCATGCACGCCCTTTATTATGTTTTTGGATTTTACTTCCATTCCTATTTTGGTGAGAGCTTTTATCAGGAATGGGTGTTGGTTTTTGTCAAATGCCTTTTCTGGATCGATTGATAGGATCATGTGGCTTTTTTCTGTTGTTTTATTTATGCAATGTATGATGATGATTGTTTTTCTAATGCTGAACCATCCTTGCATACCTGGTATGAACCTCACCTGGTCATAATGTACTATTTTATTGATATGTTGTTGGAGTCTCTTGGCTAGGATTTTGTTGAAGATATTTGCATCTATATTCATGAAGGATATTGGTCTATAGTTTTCCTTTTTAGTGATGTCTTTGCCTGGTTTTGGTATCAAGGTTATGATTGCTTCATAAAACAAATTTGGAAGGGTTCCATCCTTTTCTATGCTCTGGAATAGTTTGAATAGGATTGTCAGCTTTTCTCTGAACACTGGGTACAATTCCCTAGTGAAACCATCGGGACCAGGGCTTTTTTTTGGTTGGTAATTTTTTTTTACAACCTGTTAAATTTCATCTTTTATGAGTCTGTTCAAATTTTCCAACTCAGTGTTTGTTCGTTTAGGCAAGTAGTATGGGTCTAGAAATCTGTCCATTAGTTCTAGATTTTTAAATTTGCTGGAGTATAGTTCTTCATACTATCCTGATATTATGCTTATTTCTGTAGGTTCTGTTGTGATGTCATCCAATTCACTTCTAGTTCATGTTATTTGTATTCTCTCCCTCTTTTCCTTTCTTAAATTTGCCAGTGGTTTGTCAATTTTATTAATCTTTTTTAAAAAAAACAACTTCCAGAGAGTTCCTGCAAGATGGCGGACTAGGCAGAAGGACTGCACAGACCCTCTTCAACAAACAAAAGGGAAACCAATTAACACAGACACAGAAGATAATCTTGGACAGCTGAGCCTTGAAGGGAAGGATAGAGAAGTGGACTAAACCCCAACTAGCAGAACAATTTGCGTGAAAATACCAAGAAAAGGAGACATACAGAGCTGCGGTCTAACAGCAACCTGAGCGACCCTGACAATATAGGCGACTTGGAGATTCCTGACTGGTGGTAGGACTTAAGAATTAACCTAAAAATCACCC